CAAGACGCTTCTGCCTCGCCCGCCTGCTGCGCACGGTAACGCCGCCAACTCGGTTGGTTCAGGCAGGCAGGCCTGCTCTTGCGCCAGGCCGAGCCACCTCTTGCCACATCTCTTCCTGCTCCCCGGTTGCATAAGGTCCTTCCTGCAGGGGGAGAGGGAGGTGCAGACTCTGGCAGGGGAAGGCCGAGCCACCTCTTGCCACATCTCTTCCTGCTCCCCGGTTGCATAAGGTCCTTCCTGCAGGGGGAGAGGGAGGTGCAGACTCTGTCAGGAGAGGCAGCTTATGGGAGGGGTCCGTTCTGTTGCCCAGGCAGCGTTCCCCTCCGGGGGATTGTCACTTCAGCCAATGGATTCCCAATTGGCCGTTCCTTGGGCGTCTGACACCTGAGGAACCGGCAGAGCACGCCTTCCCAGACTAGGGCCCCCCACCCATCTCCTTACCTGCCTCAGATCTGGTAGTGCCCAATGCCATAGGGTCAGCCCCCCATAACCACTGATCAGACACGTGGTTTCATCCGCCCTTACCACACCGCTCGCCTGACTCCATCTTGGTGGCCTGCAGCCGTGGCTCAGAACCGTCCCCGAACGCCCGGGGACTCTTCCCTCCGAAACAGCAGCATCCCTGCTGCGGACGTATCCCCACCGGGCACGCTCGGGCGTCGTCCTCCCACCCTCAGCCCAGCCAGTCCCACAGGTGCCTCCCTCTGACCCCGGGGAGCCCCCAGCCCAGAGCATTGGCACAGACTGAGACACCAGGGTGCCCGGCCGTATTCTGGAGCGTGAAGGCAGCCCACCCCTTTCTCCCTTCGGCTCCCCTCCTCCCTCTTCCCCGCTCCCACTTCGGGTCTTACGGAGCGGTCGTCTGGGCAAGACCAGCATCACCCTCGTCTCCCCAGTCATCTCTGCGTGTCACCTCGACTGCCGATCATCGCGGGGCCGGGGAAGGGCAGGATCGGGAGGAGGGGCACAGACTCCAGAAGGTTCAGCTTGGAGCAGGGCTACTCAACTTTGGAAGCCCCGGGGGCCACTGATACAGCACACGCTGAGAGCCACAACGTAAGTGTGGTTGCGTATACATGCAAATATATGCAAATCGCTTCTTTCACACAATACCCGGCACATCGTCCCTGGGGCTGGGAACGCCGACACCCTGTACCCATCTGTCCCGGCCAGCCCGTCTGCTTGCGTCTGTCAGTGCTCACCCCGCCGGGGAGACGCCTCGCCGCTGTGGAGCGTGTTCCCAGTGGAGACCACGTTCAAAGGATCCCACCCGCAGGCCGCGTGTTGAGCCCCGCGTCAACCCAAACCGCCCCGCCCTGGCTTCGAACCTGCCAAGGGTCCTTGCCACTGGTAGAGAAGATCCCCTACAGGACGGTGTGTGGCCGAGTGGAAGCGTCGTCTTCTCTGGGTGCAAGAAACACTTCCACTGCCCAGAAGCTCCGGGTAGCCCCTGTAGGGCGGATTCCCTCAGACCGTGGCCGTTTCCCATCGTTCTTTGGGGGGGGGCGCCTGGCAGCGCTCGGTGCTTACCCCGGAGAGTTGCATTCCTGGTAGCTCCCCCCCACCCGCCAGAGGTGCGGGGGAGCTCGGCAGTAGCAGGTCGGCCTTACGCCACGTGCCATGGACGCCGTGTGTCTGCAGCCTGAGCGCGTCCCCCAAGTCGTGTTTTCCCCTGCCCCAGTCAGGCCGCTCGGCTGTCGCTTCCGAAACCCCCCGCGTCTGAGGGAAGGCAACGTCCCCCCCTCGCCAAGCCGCTCCCCTCCCCCCCACCAGGCCCCGGCCACGTGGA